AACCCGCGTACGAGCCCCCCAAAGTTTTTCCCGCCTAAATTCATAAATCGGGGTTCAGAGATGCTAGAAAGCTGAAATTTTAGGGGAATGTTCCCCGTCCAAGCAGGTGCTAATGGGGCTCAAACCCAGCCCTCGGGTAAGCGTGGTACCTACGCACAGGCCCGTGAAAAGTTCCTTCCGGGTAAGTTACTGACTCGATTATGCTAGAAAGCTGAAATTTTAGGGGAATGTTCCCCGTCCAAGCAGGTGCTAATGAGCTCAAATCGGTGCTAGAAGGCTGAAATTTTAGGGGAATGTTCCCCGTCCAAGCAGATGCTAATGGGCTCAAATCCAAACCCCCGGATAAGCATGGTACCCGTGTACGAGCCCCCCCAAAATTTTTCCCGCGCAAATTCATAACTCGGGGTTCTTCCGGGTAAGCGTGGTACCCGTGTACGGGCCCCCCAAAATTTTTCCCGCGCAAATTCATAACTCGGTACGTACAGGCCCGTGAAAAGTTCTCTAATGGGCTCAAATCCAGCCCCCGGGTGAGCGTGGTACCCGCGTACGGACCCCCCAAAATTTTTCCCCTCGATAACGTGAGGAGCTAGAAGACTGGAATTTTGAGGGGATGTTTCCTGACAGTTCTGGCGGCTCGGGTAAGCGTGGTACCCGCGTATGGGCCCCCCAAATTTTTTCCCGCGCAAATTCATAGCACGGGGTTCTGAGATGCTAGAAAGCTTGGGTAAGCGTGGTACCCGTGTATGGGCCCCCCAAAATTTTTCCAGCGCAAATTCATAACTCGGGGTTAGCAAGCGTGGTACCCCCTTACGAGCCCGCCAAAGTTTTTTCCGGGTAAGTTCATGACTCGGGGATCTGTAAGCGTGGTACCCGCGTATGGGCCCCCCAAAGTTTTCCCGCGCGAATTCATAACTCGGGGTTCTGATATTGTGGTACCCGCGTACGAGCCCCCCAAAATTTTTCCCGTGTAAATTCATAACTCGGGGTTCAGAGGTGCTAGAAAGCTGAAATTTTAGGGGAATGTTCCCCGCCCAAGCAGGTGCTAATGGGCTCAAATCCAGATCCCGGATAAGCGTGGTACCCGTATACGAGCCCCCCAAAGTTTTTCCCGCCTAAATTCATAAATCGGGGTTCAGAGATGCTAGAAAGCTGAAATTTTAGGGGAATGTTCCCCGTCCAAGCAGGTGCTAA